GGGATTGTGAAGACCTGCTGCCTGCAGGAGGCAGTAAAGAGCTTCACATAATACAGTATTGTATGTGAACATTGTGACAGTAAAGATGTAAGTTACTGTTATTATTTGGGGAGCATAATTCCCGGAGCAAAGCACAATGTACCCAAGCAGAATCAAGGGGATAATGAAACAAAATTTTAGAACAGCTACCAAAAGGTAGACACTCAAATAGCTCAGGAGGGTTGATTTTCATGCTTAAAATTCCCAGAGTTTGACTCTGCATGTGCTTTCCTTGCTCCTTTAATCACTTTCCCTCTCTCCCAGCACTTGGTCCACCTTCAGCAACACTAGTATCTCTTTACTTTCATCTGACATGTAGACAGAAAGCTGTCTGTCACCAGTCAGAATTAATTTATTTATATTAAAAGCTCCTCCTACTATATCTGCCCCACTAGACTGAAATGCTACCAAATAGAAATTCATACATTTCAGTTAGGGTACTTTTGGCAAATAGATTTCCTATTTGTGCAAACTTCAGTTGGTTGGTGATGGCTGCCTGGCCTGCCTTGGTGAGAAGGACTCTGGGGTAAGAGCTTGTCGGAGCTCAGCATGGAGGAGAACCTTGATGGATGAGTGATGACTAGCACGGTTGGATAAGGGACTAGTGGGGGCCTTCCTGGCTCAGATCTGACATTCTCAGTAAATGTATTGCCTCCTCTAGAAACCCTCTTTTTATTCACAGGTTGTCATGTCTCCATGCATTTTTACAGATTGGAATTCCCTTTCCCCTTCTATACATTTGAGAGCTTTCATGATGCCTTCTAGACTGCGTTCAAACTTGACTTTCCCTATGAAGCCCTCCCTGGCTTCTCCAAGCACCTCCCAAGATCACTAGACGGTGAGCCTCTGAGAATCTGCTTCTTGGTCTTCTTCACCAATCTCTGCAGCACCAGCAGAGTGTCTGACTAAAAGCAGGCATCAAAAGAATGAGTAAACACATGTTAACTCTCAAGAAAAATTACAATTAGGGGGGGTGGGGGGTTAGGAGAAAACAAGTAGTATTTAATATAGAAAATTGAGCATGAAAACAACCACCAAAAAATGACTTAGAGCAGTGTGGGGATTTGGAAACTAAGAAAACTTTGTGAATAAGGCACAGAATCATGAAGAAAATTATATTAGAATTACACCTTGACAAATAGATAATATTTTACTGGGGGAGGTGACAGGTATTTATCTCTTCGTGAAGAGAAAGTAGGAGAGAATAAAATGCCCTCCAAAGGCATTTTTATCATCTGTATCATTGACAATAAAATATAGACTAGATTATGCTATCAAACAGATTCTTTTGTATCAAATAGAATAGAGAACATGGAGACAAAGGGAGAATAAATATGAACTGCCGGGGTCCAGCCCCAGCAGTCCAGGGGTTCCCAAAAGTGTGGATGGAGCCAGCGAAGAATGAAGGACACGGAGACAGCATTCAGATGATCAGCATAGCCAGGTTCTCTCTTTATTCTCCGTGGATCTTCCTGTGCCAGGCTGAGGCCACAGAGAGAGATCCAGAGGCAAGCTGAGCCTTCATTTTATAGTCAGAGGTAAACAAGGTAGTGTTTGCCATAGTTACACTGTTCTTGTGAGTTTCACTTGTTTTGGCAGCACTTGCTGCACCTCCCTCAGCCCATTAGCTTCCCAGATAAGATCTAGGGAGTGTCATAAGGTCAAGCCTAATTATGCTAAGAGGACTGTGCCCTCTAAGCTGGGACTTGTTTGTGACTTTGCCAACAGGTCAGTCCAAGGCTTAACCCTATAGCTGTGCCCTATAATGAACAATTTCCATAATTCCTAATAGTTTTCTGGCTCTCGATTCTAATTTTCTGTACCACTTAAAAGAACTTCTTATCTTTGGGTCCTTCATCTCATTGAGAAGCCATCCTTTTTTCCCCTTTAACCAAGTTTGAAATGAAAT